CGGTGTGCAGCAGCACCGAGCCCTGGGGCACAGCAATGAGCCCTCCCTGCCAGAGCCCCAGGACAAGCTGGGCCACCCCCTCCTCCCTCTCCTGGTCCCCAAGCCCCTGGTGTCCCCAGGCATTCCCCCCACACCCTTGTCCCCTAACTGAGCCAGGGCCACCCCATGACAGGGATTACCTGGAGTCCTGTGGGACCTCGCTGCGTGTCCCCAGCTCCTTGCCCGCAGCCAAGTTTGGGGGGTGGAGGAGGAAGAGGTGACGTGGAGGGGCCGTGCCGGTGTCCCCAGGTCCCCGCGTCCAGCGGTGCGGCAGGGCGAGGGGCAGGGGGTAAACATTGCCCTGGCCCTGGCTGTTTGCTCAGCACCAGGCAGGTTTTTCCAACCATGGGGCTGGATCGCTGCCGAAAGCACCCAGCCATGGCCTGGGCATGGTGCCGGGCGCCCCAGCAGAGACAGCCATTTGCGGCTCCAGCGGCCAAATCCCAGCAACTTCGCATGCCCAGGAGATGGGTTGGGGGCACCCAGGGACGGGGATGGGGAAGGAGAGGCAGCTCCCAAATGACTTTGGGGGTCCCCAAGGGTTTGCCCCCACCAGCTGGGCACAAGCACCAGGATCCAGCCAGAAATCTCTCCCAGTGGATTTCAGGACTTTGCCCATTTGACCTGGACCCCCAGTGCAGCAAGGGCAGCCTGCACCCCCAAGCCCCTGGCAGGCAGCTGAGACACCCCCCATCACCTCCAAACGAGTCATGACCCCCCTATACCCCCCCTGCCAAGCCCCCCCGCCCTGCAGCAGCCCAGGGTCCCGCTCCAGGCCTCATGTCCCCAGGCTGGGTAAACCCCCTAGTATGACCCCCCCCCCCAGCCCCAGCTGGGCAGGGCAGGCACCCTGCAGGCTGGAGGGGTCTGGGGTGGGGGGAGGTGGTCCCCACACAGGGGGCCCATGAGCATCCCTTGGAGATGGGGCTGCCCGGAGGGACCCAGCCAGAGCCTGGCCAAGCCCCAAGGTCCAGCAGCGCCAAGGGGCCCCCAGGCAAAGCAGGCAGAGACCCCCCTTTCCTCAGGACACCTCAGGGCCCCTTCTTGTCACCCAGCCCTGGTGACCCCCTCCAGGGTAAATGTCCCCTCAGCATGTGCCCTACCTCTGCACGGAGGGGCTAGCTCTGTCCCGGAGAGGCGAGGAGGAGGAAGGGGGGATCTGGAGGAAGGTCCGTCCCTGGCTCCTCGCCCCGCAGCCGCTGAGGATTTCGCCCTGGCAGCGTCTGAAAGCGGAGGCGCTTTGGCACAAGGTCAGTGCGCTCTCCTTCGTGGTGGCTCTGTGGGGGTCCCAAGGGGGGCCTGCTGCACACGAGCTGGCACACACATACACGATGCGGCTGCGACACCACCAAAAGGGGTGCACTGGGAACCCCCCTGCTCCCCCCCGGCTCTGCCCCGCTGCCAGGTGCAGTGAAACAGGCCCTGAATAGCAGATTCCGGTCCCTTGACCCAAATGGTGCTGCAAAGGCACCCTGAGAGCACCACAGGTGACAGACACCGAGCAGGGCCCGAGCTCCAGGACAGTCCTGTCCCTGATAGAGCTGGCTTTTGGTGGCAATGAATTAACGAACCCCCTGGTGCTTATGCCATCGTTAGGCTTCAGAGTGAACGGCACATAGCACAGGCACCTCCACGGAGCCACGCTGCTTTTGGGACATCGGGGACTGGAAACGTGGGGGATGATGAGGATTTCTTGAATGGGGGCACCAAGGGGGGAGGCACATAAGCTCCAGTTCCCCTGGGGCCCCATGGAGCCAGCCCCTGTTCCACAGTGGGCAGAGGGGCTCCAGGTGCTTCCCTGGGGATGGGCCCCAAGGACAGGCGGTGGAGAAGGGGTGCAAGGACCCCCCCCCACACACACACTCACAGGGAGGAGGCCGGGTACCCCCTCGGCGAGTGCACCACGTTCAGCTCAGGCCCTGGCATGCTCCGGGGGGGGAAGGCGATGCCAGGCTGTCACCGAGTCACTCCCCTGGCCAGGGTCCCGGGGTGACGTGGCCTCAGCCACTGGCCACTGCAGCTGAGGGGATATTTAACCATTTCTGTTTGGCTTTCTGCTTTTAATAAAATAAAAAAAAGGGAAGCAGCAACACAACCACTGCTGCGTTTCCAGCACACCCCATCCTTGGCATTGATGTCCTGTCCCACATCCCTGCCCCATCACTTGGTGGCAGCGACCTCCTCCTACCCAGGGAAACTGAGGCATGGGGACACCCCCCCCGCACATGCCCTGCCCCCCTGGGAGCCCCCACACCATGGGGACACGGGCACCAGCTCTGCCACCACTCCACCTTACCT